TACTGTGTTGTCAGTGAAGGCAAGCATGGGTGTATGGGTGGATAGATGGGTGGACTGGCTGAACTATTAGGTATGTCTATGAAATGGGGAGTATATCCAAGAACATACATAAAGTTGACAGACAATGGTCCTATAAGTTATGTGAATGATCAGAATTCCCAGGTGTATAGTAGAGTTGACAAGGGAAAGGTTGTGGTCACTGCTTGGTCACAGTCAGCTACCCAGAAGGACTGAGTAGTTGAACCTACGGGCTTGGGACTGTAGTCACAGGGGACATCAAGCTCAATTGGCATAAAATACTATATAAAACATTGTTTCACCTCCTACTTTGGCAAGTAGCGACTGGGATTTTAAAAGCTAGCAAGCTGCCATCTAGATGTGACGATGGATCTCTCCTTGTCCAGAGCAAAGAATAATGAAGAAAACAAAAATTCATGGAAACAATTAGTCCTAGCGACTGGTACACCATCCGATCTGCCACCTATACGACTAAGAGATGAGAAGAACTAGATCGTGCCCGGCTACCACTGTCATCCACTTGGAAGGGGATCTGTGTAGCAGATCCTTGATAGAGAGGGAAAACAATGTGGAACAAAACTCAAAATCATTTGGAGAAGAAAAAAAGGAGGGGAGAACCAAGTTTGTTGTTCCAATAGAGACTGGTGGAACCACTGAGACTATGGCCCCTAGCTGCCTTTCAGGTCTGGAATTGAACCCACACCTGTGGTTTCCAGCCAAACAGAAGACAGGCATATGAGTTGAACATTTACCTGAGGTAGATACACTCCTTGGAGAGAACAATCATTGAGAAAGAAGGGCTGCCTGTGCACAGGGAGACAGCTTAGGGGGCAGGAGTCCATGGAGGGATGGACACTGGGAAGAGGGGAGCTGTTGCATTGTGGTGAACTGTGCTCAGTATCATGAGACAAAGTATATGTAAACTGCTACGTGGAAAGTGAATTTGCTCTGTAAATCTTCACCCAAATCACAATAAAAAAAAATCTTTATGAAAAATATAAAAGATCAAAGTTTTCATTTGGAGTGAAAAGTTAGCTTGGAAATCATCAGATTTTCCATGTTAAAATCACATGGTCCCAAAGATTATTTGCATTGTGCAAAAAATAAACAATACAAAGCCAGCTGCCATGATATGTCTCCTAATAAATACATGTTGAATGTCAAAGATGAAGTGACATATTATCTCCCACAAATAATTTAATAGTCATTTTCATATTAGTGGAGAACATCATAGTTCCATAGTTAAAATAAAGAGTATTGATTTTTTGGTAAAAACATTTTGAAATTTAACCACTGTAAGCTAAAATTATATATATATATATTCATAATCATATATATGTATGAATATGTATATATGTAATGATTATAGCTGTGAAAAATTGTCTTTGAATGTGGGAGGTAATAAGTAGTAGTGGAAAGATTTGTTTTCAGAGTATGGGATCATATGAGGTTATTTTAATATTTTCTTAAGGAAAACAAAATCAATACACTTCAGTTCAGTGTTTTACATCAATCAAGTAGTGATATTGTCTAAATTGTAGTTTTAGAAAATATAGCCATCTAAATATTTAGCATTCTTTAGCTAATTATATAATGAAGAACGCTGTACTTCATTTAAATTAAAAAATTATAATTTTCATCAATATTAAAAATGATGATTTTTAAACTCATAGCTTTCCTTAATGTGTGTATTACAGCTTTGTGATCATATTAATATTAATTGAGTACAATAATTATATTCATTTCATATATTTATTTCCACTTGAATATGGTATTATATGTATGTTCTATTATACTTATTACCTACTTCCAGTTTTATAAATTCTTCAAGTCATCATTTAAATAAAGTTTTATGTTGTTTGTAAGAAAATTCTTTTTTAAAAAAAGACCTTGTGGAAAACTTGTCAATTAGCTCCACATAAAAATTCCTTTTCTCCACAAACTTACATAGCAGTCTTGAATTATTCAGACATGGAAAGATAAGTAAGGAGTCTAAAGAATGTGGTTTATTTCATAACTTTAAAAATTGGACACTGATTTGAGAGTCCAGCTTAGTACAACTCTATTTCTAAATAAAATTCTGCTCCATTTGCAACTCTGAACATGTGGACTTGAGAAGGGGTGGTTCCCCCAGCTGGTGCCTGACCTCTGTGCACACCTTGGTCTTTGTCTCAACCTCGCCCACACTGCAACCATATAAATCAGACTTCTGACATCAGTTCTAAAATGCAAGGCACAGCTGCTGTAGTCTGTAGTTTTCAAAAAAATTTTGCAACACTGCATATCCAGCAAAATTTGTGTGTGTGTGTGTGTGTGTGAATGTAAATTTGAGGTAAGCCCTGTTTCTTTGGAAAAAAAACTTGCACAGTGAGCCAATGATTATTTCAAGTTAAAATTTAAGTAAGTTTCATGTTCACTCTCGCTCTCTTCCTCCCTCCCTCCCTCCTTGTCTGTATAAGAGAGCAGTTTGGCTTTGGGAGAAGACCTTGATATTACACCTGTGTTAGCAGGACGTTGCTGGTTCAGATTTCTGTTAAAAAGTCTTTAAACTTAAGTCAGTAAGTTCTTTTTATAAAACGGAATTGAGAGCTTATAATCATACTGTAAGTACAAATCCTTCCTCTTTTCAAATGTTTTTGATTCCTTTGTTCCTCCTATAGTGGATAACTTCACACACAAGCGCGTCTCATTCGCTACTTTGCTTTGCCAGATGCCAGACATTTTAAAAAAGAAAAACATGTAGATTGGTAAATGTTATGTGCAATTGACAATAAACTGAAAAGTACTTTTATAAAAGGCTTAACATTTCTATAGAAATGCAAACTTTTTAAGTGCAGTTAAAGATCTTTCTGTAGTATGTTTTTGGTCATTTCAGTAAACTGAAAAATTTGGAAGTTATTGATTCTACTTGAAAGATTAAAATAGACTTTATGAAAAATCAAAAAGTCATGCAGGTCATTTAGTTTCATTTATTGACATCTTTCAGGTGTAATGTCATGTAGTATACAACACATTAAAAATGTTCAAAATAAGTTACTAGACTTTTCTTCAGAGCGATTTAAGATTGTATGATACTACTTAGGCAATGATTGCTATTTAGTGCATTTATAGTTTCTTTGTTTTTTAAAAATTTATTTATGCTTTTTAATGTTGATCTTTTAGTTCTATCTTCTCAGATATTTTTTATTGATACATAATAAGTACTTAAAAAAATAAATAACCAAATAATTTTTTCATTAGTATACTGGTGTCCTAATTATTTGCAAATTTTAAAAAGGTTTTTACTATTAGAATATTTGGCATTTTATAATGGCCCCAAAAGGAGACTCTTCCTAAATTGTTAATTTTATATTGTTTTAGGTGCTGTTTTCAACCCTAATATATTGACCAAGAATGAAACTATTTAAAAATTAAGATGCCAACAGGTAATTTCTTGTAAGTTTTTAGTTTTATCTATGTGTGTCATGTACCAGGAGGACAAAATAAATAAATAACACAAAGCTATATTTTTCTCACTCTCTGAATTTGTTTTAAAAAAGAACTGATTTATTTTGGTTTTGAAAGACCGTCCTTTTGAATATAAGAATTGTATTTTAAACTTACATGTTTTACTGCTTTTTACAAGGTGACAACATCTAGCTTACTTTATATCTGATAACTTCTTAATAAATTAGATTAGAATAAAAATAGATTCAGAGATGGTGTTTCAGGTTAGATGAGTTTTCTTTACTGGTAAAATCCTGGGTTGTTCAGACATGTCTGGTTATAATCTGGTTATAAACAAGGACATTAATTTTGGCTAAAAGAGACGTTTCATGATAAATTTACGCTCCATTCTCACTGGAAAACTTGGTATGATAACTTTCTGATGTGATATAATGTTAATTAGAATTTTAGTTGCTAGCCAAATTCTTGAAAAATTGTAATTATTATTAACAATTGATTATAAAGAAGCATGGCATTATATAAAAAAGAAAAAAAATCTATTTCTTTTTTTCCACTTAAATTCTTTGTAGTTCTGTTTTCCTCTTTACATTTTCATATTTTATAGTTATAATGTGATGTTGAAACATACTCTCCTAAATTATAAGATAAAAAAAGTAAGTTTTAATTTTAAAATTCATATTGTAGAGACATGTGTCCCCAAACAATGATATCTTAACAACAGATACTGATATTTTAGTGGTAAATGTTAGATAATTATTGTTTTAAACTTGGTGTATTATTTTTTCAGTGCTAGCTTGGATGTCAAATAAGAGTAATATCATTTTCTTCTTCACATTAGTTGATTCTAGGTCATTTTAGACTGGAGCAATCAGGAAGCAACAATACATAATTTTAAAGCAATATAATTCCCTCTTCAAGGCTGACAGATAAAATATTCAGTAATTAGCCTATCTAATCATAAACAATATAATGACTCAATTCATTTTACTATTGTTATTTTAAATTTTTCTATACAATGGCTTTGGTGACCATAGTGAAAGGAAAGGGACTTCAAAGGGGAGGAGGACAGTGGGGAGATACTAAGGGAGAGAGGGAAGACACAGAGAGAGAATAAAGGAAAAGTCAAAGGTTAAAGAAGATTAGAAGGATGGAAAATGGAGAGGGAGAGAAAGGGGCAAGAGAAATTGAGGGCTATATTTTTCTTATGTCTTTATATTCTTAAGATTTTGGTTGTTATCAAGCAATTATTTAGGCTTTTCATGTTATTTTAGAACTTTGGGCAATCTACTTCTGTAGTGATACCGCCTTGGAAGCCCAAGGAGGGGTGGCTGAGTCAGATCTGACTCAATGGCAGAGTGTGTATGTGCGTGTGTGTTATAGTTACTAGCTAAAATCCCCCTGTGAATCAGAATATTCAAAGATTATTTTTGTTTTTTGATGTTAAGATTGTCATGGAAGTATTTAAGGTTATTTCTGAAATCAGAATTTACTTCAATTGTCTAAATCTTTTTCCTGCAGCAATCTGAGACTTTCATGTACATGAGATCTAATAGAAAAGAGAAGAATGTGTACGTTAGAGTAGGGAGGGTCAAGAGAGGAACAAAGAGGTTCAGACATTAAACTAATCTCTTTAGTTGCTCTAAGCAAAATACAGAAGCTCTGTACTAAATGAGAAAGGCCACTGTTTATTCCACGATCCTAGTTGTCTCCTTTTAAACTAATACAATCAAAACCAAACCAAAAGCACTGTCATCGAGTTGATTCCGACTCATAGCAACTCCCATTGGGTTTCTAAGGCTGTAAATCTTTACAGAAGTAGATCGCCCTATTTTCCTTCCATGGAGCAGCTGGTGGGTTTGAACCACTGGCCTGCTTAGCAGCCAAAATACCTTATCCAGTATGCCACCAGAGCTCCTTTTTAACTACTATAAAAATTACCTATTTTTGTTACATAACTTAAAAATGATTGTATTTTCAGAGGGAGAGGAGCTCCTGTTTATCAAACAAGAAATTAGATTAAGTCCTTCATTTTAAGAATCAATTCTTCATTTTAATTTTTAGAATTGCTACTTGAGTCTAAGACAGTAATTCCTATTCCTTGTTGCAATTAGAAAAGCTTTAGTTTGCCTTTCTATGTTTCACATTTGTGTGTGTGTTTGTATGTGTGTTTTAGATCACGAAGAGCCCTGTGGTCCCAGTCACAAGTCATTTTGCCTGAATGGGGGGATTTGTTATGTGATACCTACTATTCCCAGCCCGTTTTGTAGGTGAGTGAAATGGACTCAGGGGAGAGGGTAATTTTATTTTCCATTATCTACTAACTTTCTTTGAGAAATGATAAGAAGTGAACAAAAAGTGCAAGATGAATAAGTGTGAAGAATACTCTTTATTTTTATATACAACAAATTATATTTTTATATAAGTGTATAATTTTAATTTTATGTAGAAAATTGTATTTGTAAGTCAAAACAAAGTAACAAATCAAAATCTCATTCACCAAAGTATTTATTTTGAAAATTTGTAATAGTAGTTTCTAGCCTAGTTGAGTTTTTTAATAATCCATTGTAGTGAACTCTATAATTTTAGCAATTTAGGGAAGACAGTCTGTGTTTAATGTTGCTGGCAAAACAGCTTAAGAATTCGTTAATGTAAAATGGCCCACTGTGAAATATTTTTCTTTGATTTTAGAATGCATGAATGTGTAACTATGCTATTACCCAAACTTAGTAGTGATATATCAGAAAGAAAATGAAGACAATTTTTCCTAACGGTAGCAGCAAATTTAAAAAGAAGTACATCTTAGTCACTATTGTAGATAATATGATTCACTTTGAGAGTATAGATATAAACAGTGATCACTAAAAGACTTCAAAATAATATTTGTACAGCTGGTTCCCTGTGAGTTTGGTTGCGTAGAATTTAAGGGGATAGAATACCCCTCTTTTTAGTACATGAGTTAGCAAGGTAGTACTCCCATTGAGGCCCATGAACATTAGAGGAGAGAGCACCTAAGGACCTGAAGATATTTTTTAGCATGTGAAGTACTGCTTTTCTTCTGTAACTTAAAGGAGAGTTGAATAATGTAGATTTAAGATCTTAATACATAAAGGAATAGAAAAGTAAAAATTAAAAACTAAAATAGGAAAAGTATTAGAAATTGGAATTTAATCTGGAAGAGAGGAGTCAGAAGAATAACCTTAAATTATCTCAAGAAGTTTTTAGGGACTTCATATGGAGATTAATGATTAGATATTTTTCCTCCCAAGTGAATACGTAAAGGAAAGGGGATGGAGGAAAAACTAGCAATTATTTAGTGCCCACCATATGCCTAGACAGTATTCTTTTTAACTTTTTAATCTTTGTACTGAGATAAAATTTTCACGTAATAAACTACATTCACTGAAAGTACACAATTGACGAATTTTGACAAATGTTGATACCTGTGAAAGTACCACTGCTGCATTAAGATACAGAACATTCCCATCACCCCAAAAAGTTGCTTTGGAAACCCTACTCTTGATTGATGTTTTCATGTTTCATCCTCATAAAAATCCTAGGAAAAAGAATAAGAAATAGGGAAGATAAGAAATTAAGTGACTTGACAAAATGCCTAAAGCTAGGAAAAATTCAAAAAAATAGCCTCAAGATTCATTTTTCTTTATAACATAATCATTCCGAATTCTTTTTAAAGGGATATGACATGTAGCATTCATACATGAAACTAAAATGCTTATCAGAACTGAAACACTCAATAATTCAGAGATAGTAATATTTTATATCTTGATCTGGGTTATGGTTACATGAGTGAAAAGATTATTATTTCTCTGTTGAATTGCCTTTCCCCTTTGTCAAAAATCAATTGACTGTGTAAGTGTGGGTCTATTTAGGGGTTATTCTAATCCACTGATTTATGTTGTCTGTCTTTTTGCCACACAGTTGGATGCCTTTGCATGGTTAATAAAACACAGGTAGACATCTTTCTGGTATTATTTGCTTTCACCTAAGATCCATCTGACATCAGCAGTGATATCCCTCGTTCCATGTCCTTTTCAGAATCCAGCTTGCATTTCTGGAATTTCCCTGTCAATATACTACTGCAACCATTTTTGAACTACTTTCAGCAAAATTTTACTTGTGTGTGCTATTAATGATATTGTTTGATAATTTCTGCATTCTGTCGATCACCTTTCTTTGGAATAATCACAAATATTGATCTTTTCTAGTTAGTTGTCCAGGTAGCTGTCTTCCAGATTTCTTGGCATAAATGAGTAAGTGCCTCCAGCATGACATCCATTTGTTAAAACAAATACTCTGTCAATTCCTGGAGCCTTATTTTTCTCCAGTTCTTTCAGTGAAGCTTGGACTTAGTCCTTCAATATCATTGGCTCTTGGTCATATGCCACCTCCTGAAATTGTTGGGCATTGACCAATTCTTTTTGGTGCACTGACTGTGTATTCTATCTTCTTTTGATTCTTCCGGCATCATTCAATATTTTGCCCATACGATCCTTCAGAATTACAACTTGAGGCTTGAATTTTTTTTTCAGTTCTTTCAGCTTGAGAAATGTCAAGTGTTTTCTTCCCTTTTGGTTTTCTAACTCCATCCAGGTCTTTGCTCACTTCATTATAGTACTTTACTTTGCTTTCTCAAGCTCACCTTTGAAATCTTCTGTTCCGTTCTTTTATTTCAGCATTTCTCCTATTCGCTTTAGATACTCTCCATTCAAGAGCCAGTTTCAGTGTCCTTTCTGACATCCATTTTGGTCTTTTCTTCCTTTCCTGTCTTTTTAATGACCATTTTCTTTCTTCATGTATGATGTTCTTGATGTCATCCCATAACTCATCTGGTCTTCAGTCACTGGTGTTCAGCACATCAAATCCACTTTTCAAATAATCTCTAAATTCAAATGGGATATAATCGAGGTCATATTTTGGCTCTTGGGTACTTATTTTTTATTTTCTTTAGCTTCCTCTTGAACTGGCATATGAGCAATTGATGGTCTGTTCCACAGTCAGCTCCTGGCCTTGTTTTTACTGATGATATTGAGCTTCTCCATCACCTCTTTCCACAAATGTAGTCAATCTGATTTCTGTGTATTCCATCTGGAAAGTCCACGTCTATAGCTGTCATTTATGTTATTGAAAAAGGTATTGGTTATGAATAAGTCAGTGGTCTTGCAAAATTCTGTCATCTGGTCTCTGGCATAATTTTTATCACCAAGGCCATATTTTCCAACTATTAATGATTCTTCTTTGTTTCTCTCTTTTGCATTCCAATCACCAGTAATAATCAATACATCTTGATTGCATGTTTGGTCAATTTCAGACTGCAGAAGTTGGTAAAAATCTTTAGTTTCTTCATCTTCAGCTTTAGTAGGTGGTGTGTAAACTTGAATAATAATAGTATTAACTGGTCTTCCATGTAGGTGTTTATGGATATTATCCTATCACTGACAGCATTGTACTTCAGGATAGATCTTGAAATGTTCTTTTTGATGATGAATGCCAGGCCATTCTCTTCAATTTATCATTGCCAGCATAATAGATCATATGATTGTCTGATTCAAAATGGACAATACTAGTCAATTTCAACTTACTAATGCCTACAATATTGATCTTTATCCATTCCATTTCATTTTTGACAACTTCCAATTTTCTTAGATTCATACATTCCTTGTTCCATTTATTAATGGATGTTTGCAGCTGTTTCTTCCCATTTTGACTCATGTCCTATCAGCAAATGAAGGTCCTGAAAGCTTTACTCCATCCATGTCCTCCATCCAAATCATTAGGGTCGACTCTACTTTGGGGAAGCAGCTCTTCCCCAGTTGTATTTTGAGTGCTTTCCAACCTTGAGGGGCTCATCTTCAGGCACGATATTAGACAATGTTTCATGGCTATTCATAAATATATAATAAATAATAAATATAGTAATATATCAGACAGTGTTTCACTGCTACTCATAAGGTTTTCAGTGGCCAGTTTTTTCAGAAGTGGATGGCAAAGGGATTTGACTGTGTGTATCATAACAAAATATGGATAGTGTTGAGAAGAATGGGAATTCCAGAACACTTAATTTTCTCATGAGGAAGCTGTGCATAGACCAAGAGCTGTCATTTGAACAAGAGCAATGTAATACTGCATGGTTTAAAATCAGGAAGGGTGTACATCAGGGTTGTGTCCTTTCACCATACTTATTCAATCTGCATACTGAGCAAATAATCCGAGAAGCTACACTACATGAAGAAGAACACAACATCAGGATTGGAGGAAGAATCATTAGCAACTTGTGATATGCAGATGACACAACCTTGCTTGCTGAAAGTGAAGAGGACTTGAAGCACTTACTGATGAGGATTAAAGATCTAACCTCAACCTAAAGAAAATGAAAATGTTCACAACCAGACTGGTAAACAACATCATGATAAAGGGAGAAAAGATTGAAGTTGTTAGGGATTTCATTTTACTTGGATCCACAGTCAACACACGTGGAAGCAGCAGTCAGGAAATCAGACATCATATTGCACTGGTCAAACCTGCTGCAAATACTTCTTTAAAGTGTTAAGAAGCATAGATATCATTTTGAAGACCAAGGTGCGCCTGACCGAAGCTATGATATTTTCAGTAGTTTCGTATACATGTGAAAGCTGGACAATGCATAAGGAAGACTGAAGAAGAGTTGATGCCTTTGAGTTGGGGTTTTGGCAAAAAAAAAAAAAAATAATAATAATACTGACAATACTATGGACTGTCAGGAGAATGAACAAAGCTGTCCTGGAAGAAATCTAGCCAGATGCTCCTTGGAAGCAAGAATGGCCAGACTTCATCTCACTTACTTTGGTCATGTTGTTAGAAGGGATCCCTGGAGAAGGATATCATGCTTGGTGAAGTAGACCATCAGTGAAAAAGGGAAGACCCTCAACAAGATGGATTGGTACAGTGGCTGCAATGATGGGCTCAAGCATAGCAAGGACTGTGAGGATGGTGCAGGACCAGGCAGTATTTCTTACTGTTGTTCATAGGGTCATTGTGAGTCAGAACTGACTCAACAGCACCTACCAACACCAGTCTTTTTGCCAATACCAAACAGTCTTGATGACTGTATCTCTGTAAGTCTTAAAATCAGGTAATATGAGTTCTTAACTTGTTCTTCAGTTGTTGAATTTTAGCCTTCTTTTCTAATATACAGGAGCTCTGGTGGCATAGTGCCTAAGGCATTTGACTGCTAACCAGAAGGCTGGTGTTCAAACCCATCAGCCACTCCTCA